AGATTTACACTTGGTCTTAGCCAAAAGGCTGAGAAGGAATAAGGAGGTTAGATTTAGACATGCTGTTTCAGCTCATTTCTTTAGTCATCTGAGAAGCTGCCAGATTTGAGAGCAGCATGAAGCAAGAGAAGGTTTTCTAGCCAGTCCAGGAAGCACTGCCCTCTGGGCCAGTGAAGCCAATGTGCTTTCAGCACCTGTGGCTGCTGAATGGAGCTTTGGTGTGTCCAGAAAGGAGAAGCATAGCACAGATCCTCGGGGTTTTGCAGTCGAGCCACAAACCCTGTGGCTAATAACTGTTCTCCCTTTTGAGAAACAGATCAGGACTTCTTGCTGGGCACTAGTAAATACAGAAGTCTGATGATGACACAGTTGGTACCATGTGACAGATGCCCATGATAAACAGGGGGTTATCTGATCCACCAAGCCGTAAAGTCAGCTAACATTTCGTGTGTGTGTGTGTGTGTGTGTGTGTGTGTGTTCATGTGCCAGACTCTGTTCTAAGAACTTCTAACATTTCTTCTAATCCTTACCACATTTCTATGAGATAGTACTGTCTTTTTTTTTATGGTCCCTGTTTTAGATGAGAAGACTAAAGCAGAAAGAGTGTGTTGGTCAGCTTTTCTTTGCTGTAAGCTAAAATACCCGATCAGAACAATTTAGAGGAGAAAGGGTTTATTTTGGTTCAGTCCACGGTCAACAGACTCCATTGCTTTGGGCCCAAGGTGAAGCAGAATGTCATAGTGGAAGGGAGGTGGTGGGAGAAAATTGCTTATTTATGGTAGCCAGGTAACAGAGAGAGAGGAGATCCAAGGAAACAAGAAATAATCGCCAAAGGCCTCCCCCCAGTGACCTCTCTCTAACAGTCATGTTTCACCTGCCTACTGTTACCACCCAGTTAGTCATCTCAAATTATTAATCCATCAAATGGATCAACCCACTGATTAAGTTACAGTTCTCATAATCTAATCGTTTCACTTCCTATGTTAAACCAGGAGCTTCAGGGGGACACCTCATATCTAAACCAGAACAGAGGGGATAAGCAATTTGTCCAAGTTATAGTTAATAAGGGGCACACCTTGGTTAGAATCTACCCCCTGGCTCCAAGGTGCCTATGTTTCATTGCCAAACTGCATTGCATCTCATGATCCAGTGGGAGTCTTCTGTACTGGATGGGGCTTGAGCAGACAGCGAAGACCATCGGATTGCATGATGTGCCACTCCCACCACACCACCCTTTCCTCCTCAGCCTACGAGTCTGCACAGATGGGCACTGGCCACAAGAGGACAGCTGCAACATTACAGCCCAACTCAAAGGTGGTACTGAAGATCAGCAGGGAAGGGAAATTGTCCAGAAAGCAGAATTTTAAACATTTCATCTTTCCACAGTTTAAACGTCCCCACCAAAACTCATTCTGAAATTTAACTCCCATTCTGAGGTTTTAAGAGGAAGGAAACAATCTGACTATGATATTTAGAGGTGAGACATTTGGTAGGTAGTTAAACTTCAATGAGGCAATAAGGGTGGGGTGCCAATCAGATGAGACTGCGGCTTCAGAGGAGAGAGCAGAGCTAGTATATTCTGTCTTGCCATGTGATGCCCTATGCCTCTTGGGAGTCCCCACCAGCAAGAAGGACCTCACCAGATCTAGTAGTTACTAGATCTTGGACTTTCCAGTCTTGTAACCATGAGCTTAATCATATCCCCCGTTTATTTATTTGTTTGTTTGTTTGCAGTGCTGGGGATTGAGCCCAGGGTCTCATGCATGCTAAGAAAGCACTCTACCACAGAGCCACATTCTCACCCTTATTCTTTACAAATTACTCAGTCTGTGGTACTCAGTTATAGCAACATAAAATGAATTAAGACATATCCTGTTGACCACTGTATCTGAAAAGAGAAATGGCCTGAGGCGCAGATATTATCAGTTAATAGTCAGTAGCTGATGTTTTAGCTCAGCAGCCTGAGACTTGGAAGGCCCAGAAATACAAGGCCATTGACAAGAATGTTTGAGGGAAGAGATATATATGGACTCAGAGAATGGATACAGACTTGACAATATTTAGTTCTTTGTAAATATTCATCAAAAGACCTTCTTGAGAGAGGAAGTGCTGAATAATCAGGTGAAAAGTTGACCAGTCCTCTGCGTGTCACCTACTCCTTCCTCCAGGCACTCCAGTAGGGTCCAATGGCTCATGAACAAAGTGGTAGAATTGGTGGTAGAATTGCACATTGTATGTGGGTTCAGCAATTTGTGGATTCAGCTGCATCAAAGCTGATCTGGCTACTGCTGCTGTTGAATATTTAGTTGTTCAGTAATTAAAGCCAATAACAAGTCCCTGACATGCAACAGGCTTGAATATAACAAATCCAGGAATGATGTGGCCAGGGAAGGAAATGAGTTCTTCCCCCCCACCCACTGCCAGCCCACTTTCTGCTTTGCACCTGAACTCGGAATCCTGGGACTAAATGTCAAAAACCTGCCACATCCACAGATTTTTGTTATCTTCAGGGCATCCTGGAACCAATTCCAACAGATACTAAGGGATGACTTTATTTACTCAACCAGTAACTAATGCCCTTTCTCCTATAGCCAGAATACACAATGTAAGGGTCCAGCGAAGCATCTGAGAAAGAGACCACCAAGAGACCACTCATGCAATTGGCAGAAGGGGATTTATTGATCCAGCATGCTGGGGCTCCATGCCCACTCGAGAAGGGAAAGCAGCCCAGAGCCCCGAGCATAGGCTGAGCACTGCTTAAGTACACTTTTTTGGGGAGGGCGGGGATTTTACATATATCACAGTCCCCTTTAACAAATCATCATACACCGCGGGAAAATCAAACAACAATTCCTAAACATGATTAGTTCATTCATTGGCGGGAACAGGTCGGGCGGGGGTGATAGGTCAGTTCTAAAGCGGGGTACACATTCAAACTGATTGGTCCAGGCCCTGCAATGCCTACGTGCAAGATCGTACAGGGCCCTAAGTTATTAAACAACCAAGCGGTCAGGGGGAGTATTTACTGGGCAGTTCCAAGCATTGTCTTAACAGCTACAGGAATTTCAGGTTTTGCATGTAGCATAGGAACTTAACAATACCTAGTCCTTTACATTTTAACTCAGGCCTTGCAGCTTAGAAACTTTACAATGCCCGGTCTTTTACACTTTAACTTTTACACTTCAACTTCAATTTCTTTTACCCTTACAACATGGGTCTCAGAGCCAAGGCATTAGGAGAAAGGCCTCCTTAAGGTTCACCTGCAAAATTGTTCCTTAGCCCCAGGACTGTGCTCTGATGATTTAAAAGCTTGAGAAAAGACTTCCACCAGAAGAAACAAACAAACAAAAAACAATATAGTTCCATTGATTTAGAAGCTCAGACTGCTACCCAGTCATTGTGGGTAGCAGTCTGATCACTAACAAATGCAGACTGATTTATAATATTCATGGAAACCAGGGGACCTCTTGGAGTTCCTCCATACCCAGTGATAAAAAGTCCTGTGTCAGGATCACCAAGGCCCAGACTCTTTGTGAAGAAAGGTTTAGGTCACTCTACTAATTATATAATTCCTACCAGCCAAGTGACTAGCTAAAAATAACAAGCATCTGGCATGGAAAATAGATGAGGGAAATGATATAATAGCAGCCATTGCCTCTTAACCAGTTGTGGAAATGAATATCATTGCTCCTGTATGCATTTTCTTTTTTACCATGTTATATCTACCATATTTTCCAAAAAGCTTCTTCTTTCTCTTTCCCTACTAAGGGTGTGTTACTGGTGATCAAATTCATAATGTAGTTAGTTGAGCATACAGATTATCATGATGGCATCATGACAGAATCAGAGGATGAAAGGCCCTCACCCAGAGATTTTATATTTAAGGGCAGATGCAGTAATGAATAAACTTTGAATTAACCACTTTTGAGAAGATGATTGTGCCTTCTTCTGTAGAATGGATGATTGTGTTAATCAAGGAAAGCCCTTTGTGATACTTTTTCCCCCAACCAATGCTAAGGATTGAACCTAAGGCCTCACTCTTATATTAAGCATATATTCTCTTACTGAGCGACATCCCCAATCCCTCTGCTCTTTTTAATTAAAAAATTAAGAAAAATTTTAAATTAAAAAATGAAAGGTGTGTCTCCTCACACTGCAGAATCTGAAAATGCCATATGCAGTCTTCCTCTGCCTGCCTCTCTCATAGGTATGGACCTGGGTTCCACCCATCAAATACCTCAATAGAGACTCTGAGGTGGAGTGGGTAGAATACACACTGGGACAGGTGGGTGTGACCCTGATGTGGAAATAGTAGAGGTGTGGCTCTGTGGCTCTGGTGGTGGCATCCACATCCATTGCTGATGGCGACCTCCATGCATCATGATTGCAATTACTTGTCCAGAACATCAACAAAGATGTTTTTACCAGATCAGATTTGAGGTATGGATTTGGGTATTGTTCCAGGCAGGGTAGACCCCAAATCTGGTCCTCTGACTGTAAAGATTCTCTGCAGGAGCCAATATTCTTTTAATAAATTCATTCTGATTAAATTGACCTAAGTGGGTTTCATGAAGAAAGATCTAGAAGGATACATTTCAGTGAGTAAAGAGTGGTCCTTGATTACTCTTGAGGACTTATGATATTTCCAGTATTCTATGTTTTCTGATTTTACTAACATTTGTAGTAATATTTTAATAAAAATAGTTTTTTAAGTAATTAAAATAGATATCTTGAGTTTTCATTAAACTTTCTGATCTATGACCTTATATTATAGGTACACACTATCATCAAGATTAACTGCCTAATAAAGAAAAAAGAAAATGCTTCAGCTAGCTTAATTCAAAGTGAAAAAAATAATATTATAAAGTAAAAGAAAAAGAGGTACTCACTCAAAACCAGGGATAACAATTGGGAAAAATTCAATAAAGCAATTCTGCCTTTATTGTTGTTTCATTTATTTTTACAAATAATTGATATTACCTATGTAATATTCACAATGATATAAAAATGTGAGAAGAATACATGTGACTATTGATTTCAGATTTGATAAAATATATAAAACATTAAGGTATTATGTCCAACTACAACTAAAATGAAGCAGGTAACAATGAGAAATATTTGTAGCATTAGATCTTACATTTATGGATGTTGACAAGTTGCAGTTGTATATCCACAGTAAGACACTTAGGACACTTATCATAAATTTTACTTAATGTTTAAAACAGGAAAGCAATAGCCAAGTATGTAGTCAATAAAATATGCCTAATTATCTTTCCAAGATTCTTCTATGCTCAAGTAAGTTTTATAAGAGTCTTATTATATGCACATTTATCTTTCTTCCCAATATAAATCTTCTCAAGGAACTAAAAGAGAGAGAGAGAGAGAGAGAGAGAGAGAGAGAGAGAGAAAGAGAGAGGCTTCATTAGATTAGCCAACAAAATCTGTACAGTCCTCCCCACAAACACTATCACATCCAAATTAAAAATCTCACTCTCTGACATATATCCTTACACTACACAAAATCACATGTTAATAACTTGACCATGAGAAACAATGATCTTTAGAATCAGAAATACTCCATTTGAATTCACATATGTCCTATGCCCAAGCCTGGCCCAGCCCAGCTCAGCAGTCTTATGCTACTCATCTTTGCTGTTAAAGGCCTGGGATCCTTTTGTGTAGTAGAGGAAATGAAGCTGTGGGCAATGCATAAGGTAGATATTCTAGGAGCAGATACTGGAAGGTGTATATAAATACATATGCTCAAGTAGCATTTGTGAATTTACACCTACACAGTGTAACATAGATTATGGGTAAAAAAGAGAAGGAATGTTCACATATAAATTTAAGCAAAAAATGAGTATATATATATATATATATATATATATATATATATATATATATAATACTTTATGTATAAATGTGTGTAAGAATATGCATCTCATTTGCTATAATAGATCCCCTCTTTTAGTTAAAATCTTTTTGATAAGAGACTATGGAATGCAAGAATAAAGGGACAAAATACTGTAGGACTTTGAGTGACAGCTCTTCTCAGAGGACTCAGCTGTAGCCAGAAGCATCATCCCTCTGTAGTTAAATCAGCTGAAGAAGATAGCCAGTATGTCAGGCATGCTTCCTCCGTGCTTCCAAAATTGATCTACATGCTTATCTATAGAGCAGATTAAACCAATAGGAAACAAGCCAAAATGGAAAAAATAGTGTGTTTTGTCACTAGCAATGTCAAGGAAGAAATATGAGACAGGGGCTGGGGTTGTGGCTCAGCTGTAGAGTCCTCACCTAGCACATGTGAGACGCTGGGTTCGATCCTCAGCACCACATAAAAATAAATAAAATAAAGGTATTGTGTCCAACTACAACTAAAAAAATATTTTAAAAAAGAAATATGAGACACTATAGCATTAAGAATGAATTAGGGAGCTGGGGGTGTGGCTCAGTGGTAGAGTGCTTACCTAGCATGCATGAGGCACTGGGTTCGATCCCCAGCACCACATAAAAAAACTAAATAAACAAAATAAAGCTACTGTGTCCATAAAAAAAAAAAAAGAACGAATTAGTGCTGGGCACAGTGGGGTATGTTTGTAATCCCAGTGACTTGGGAACTTGGGAGTCTGAGAAAGGATAGGATAACTCAGTGGTAAAGCACCCCAGGGTTCCATTCCCAGAACAAAAGGAAGGAAGGAAGAGAATAAATAAGGATATATGTTTTATATATATATATATAATCACATAATTATATATCTGTATATTATGTATGTTTCAATTATGAACATATAAAATATATTAAATAAAATAAAAATATGTATTCTACATATAAATCTGTAGAGATATATTTATGTGAACCTTATGTACAGCTATCATTACTATATATAAGTATAAAACTATTTGTATAAATATATTAAGCATACCTTGCTGGCCTAGTATTGATGTTCAGAGCTAAAGGACACCACTGCAATTCTATAATGGAGTCTTCTAATCCCACATCTCCACCTCTAAACTTGTCCCCTTTAACTCTGAAACAAATATGGCTCTGAACATGGTCAATATGTACACTTATTTGTCAGTAAGCATAAGCCATTGTTAGTTCTATCATCCTTGGGGGGAAAAAATCTAATTTCCATGTCTAGGAACGCCTGACCATCTTGGCTGCACTGCCCTCTAATGACCCTAAGGGATATCCATAAAAGACAGAGGACAAATTATTAGCTACAACTTTGGTCCCAAATCTGCTGTGGTTACAGGAGTGGTCTGGGTACCCAAATCCAGACTGCAGACTCTCCTGCTGAACTGTCCTCTCTGCTGACCTCCCCTGTGTCTTCTAAGGGCTGTAGTATCAGGATCATCCATGGGAAGAGGCTGGAGCCAGCTTTACAATTTAAAGGAACAGAACTCAAAAGGCAGAAGATAAGAAAGGGAAAAGAGGCATCAGACTCTGACAGGCCCCAAGAGGTAATCTTTGGTCCTAGTCCTTTTCCACTCGAGGGAGACCTTGCACAACAGTGACAAAATAGCAGATCTCAACTCTATCTTAAGCCACAGCTCTTTATTCTTAGACCTGGAAATAAAGGAGATTCAGAAACATCCTAAAAAACTCAGTGTGTTTTACTAACAGTCAGAATTTGCAAAGCATATGCCCTGTACACAGACCTCTTTCACTTGAGTCCCACTGAGACCAAACCTATGGAAAGTGAGACAGCAGAGAGACAAGGCACCTCTGACAGTAGCAGAAACCAAGGCAAAATAAAAAGGGCAAAATGCTGCCTCCTGTCTCTGGGTCCCTGTCTATAGAGAAGCATGATCTTTCCTCCAAGGGTGCGAGTCTTGGAAGATGCCTGTAGAAGCACTAAGATTCTGTTGGGGTAATAACGCCTTCCTGCCAACAACTGGAGCCGTGAAGCCCTCAAACAGGGCTTTGCCCAATGTACTCACCCTGGGCATCCTGTAGCCCCTGCGTAGGATGAAATCCTTAAAGACATCTATTCCATGAAGGTCTGCAAGAAACTCCTCTTCCTAAAAGAGGATTTTAAAGGACATTTAAAGAACCTGGTCAGCAGCTCTTTATAAAGTGCCTCATTTGAAACCACTCCTTCTTATTTCTAATTATGTATATAAATAATGTCCATGAGTTGATGAAAATGAAGGTTTTCAAAGACATGCAACTTTTCTTCCTCATCCTTTATATCACCCTTGTATTAAGGATAAACAACACATTTTAGCAATTAAGACAATTATTGAAGGAAGATGTCTGGAACATAAGCTATTTGAGACTAACATTATGTCCACAATTTATAGATCTTAACTCCAAAGGGCATGACAATAAAAAGAAGACTTGATCTAGCCTCAACATCCTTTCAATATGCAAGCATCCTTTCATTTATTCAAAATTTTAAAATTGTATGTATAAGTTTATGCAACTGCAATGCCATACTAGAAGAGCATTTTACCTTCCAAACCCAGTCAATCAAGGATGGTCAAAATACTTGTGTTTCTACAAGACAGTTGTGTGACTGTAGTGACTGCCAGCTGCCAGTACACCATAGCACCTATGTCCTGAAAAGGCTATAGCATCAACTTAGAGTATATGGGGTAAACCATCCTTGGGGTATTGCAAAAGTGTGATTTATGAAAATAGTTGTAGAACAATTCCATTGTTTTGAATCCTCCTTATGTAAACTTCTTGATAAACAATTTTTTACTATAATAGTTATATCAACCATATTCTCAAAATTTAAATGATGTTCCTTTTTCATTAGCTGACTGTAACCATTTTGGCAAACACCTTTTCTAGCTTTTGCCATCAAAATGAAATATGTTTTAGAGAATTCTTTAAGTCTTTAAGAATTAATATTTAAGAAATTTTTAAAAAGAAAATTTCTAGACACCTTAAATCAAAAGTATGTAACTATTTGTGTTTTAAAATATTTAATTCATTGATAACTTTTCATTATTTTAAAAAATATGCCTCGAATAATTTTATGTTATATATTAAACTCCCATAGACTTAGGCAGTTCCAAAAACCATACCCTGATAAGTTCTGCTCACCATTATTCACATTATTTTGAAACTTACATAAGCATGTTGTGTTCATAAATTTGTGTTACACATCATACAAAATAAGAATTATTGGGCTGGGGATGTCGCTCAAGAGGTAGCACGCTCGCCTGGCATGCACAGGGCACTGGGTTCGATCCTCAGCACCACATAAAAATAAAATAAAGATGTTGTGTCCACCGAAAACTAAAAACTAAATATTTAAAAATTCTCTCTCTCTCTTAAAAAATAAGAATTATCTTTTATGAAAAAGATAAAAATGACCATTGTTCCTGTCTTAGTTTTCTGATCTAAAGGAGAAAACTGATGAGTGATTATTCATGAATGATAACCAAATATGTACAACATTTTGCTTTTCCCGAGTGTTTTCACATCTGTTATCTTGGAGAAGTTTGGGGTCTGTTGAAAAGAGAATATGTTCATGAACATTCTCATCAGAATACTGTGCAAGTGTTGCATCCACATTTCCAAATATCCAGAACAATGTTGACTATCTTCTTCATTAGATACTTGTACACAGAGGTGGGCAGGCACAGTTTATTTGTTGTATGTGTTTGTTGCTTTGCAATATTAGTGCTTAATCCTTGTCCCTTTCCTCTCAGACAGAACTTGTAGCTTTGCTAAATTGCAAAAAAGAATTTTCCCAGTTGCAATTTTGTATTTTTGGACAATCATCCATTACTGATAGGAAGCAAGCGTCCCCCTTAGTAACCCAAAAGCCTCCAAGACAGCACATCGATTCTAAGGACTGAGGTGGTCCTACCATGTCAACTGCCCTTTGAATAATTATTCATAGAATCAATTGTTCCAAAATGGAAGGAGTGAGCTGAGTGGTGGTCCCATCTTTAGAGACATTGTGTTTACCACCCAGCTAGGAGGGTTCAGGACTTGCCTATCACCCATTTCCCACAGTATTACCAGCCTTTCTCAGTGCTGAATTCAATATGCAAGCTATAGGACTTTACAGAGCCTCAGTGTTCCACCAGAGACCCTGTGATCATCCTTAACTCAGAGGATCAAGTCTCAGCATACCTACATACCTGGTCCTGTAGCTTCTTTTTAAAATTCTCATCCTGAGATTTAGATGAAACTCTGGGATCAACCAAAGGTTCATCTGCTCTTTGCTTTTTCCATAAGTTGGTGTTCAAATACCATGCTCCATACCTCATCTTCACCGGCTTTGGTTTATAAGGATTCTATGGGAAATAACATAATTCACAGTGTCAAAAGTTAATGTTTTTGTTTTGTCATTGCAATACATCTAAGGTTCTGCTTAGGAAAGCAGGATCATTACTTTGAATTTATAGTTGGTCTTGGCCAAAGTATTTTATAAAGTTTCAGCATATTTTAATTTTACAAAAGAAATATGAAAAGTTCATAATTGAGAAAATAATGTATTAGCTAAGAACATGGTCTTTAAATTTGGACAGATCTCAGTTCAAATCCTGTCTTCTCTAAGTATTTGCGGACTCAAAATTTGTAGACTCATGTTCATGGGCTGGTTAAACTCTTCATGAGTGAAATGAAGATAACAATAGTAGTCAATCACAAAGAAAATATATGTAAGGCAGTTAGGAATCAAGTAAAAATAACATATTTTGCCCGAGGGTAATGATCTTGAACAACACCCAGTCATAAATATTATTATTAGACTCACCATAGGCCCTGCACTCTGCCCGGCTTTTCAAGTGTTGCACTATATTGTATTAAACTCACACCTTTCTTCCCGCCATCCCTCAGCAGAATGTGAAGAGAACCTCTTGCCAGATGGTGCAACACTCACCACATGCTATCCCATCACAAAAGGGGGTTTAATTCTTGGAAGGGGCAAAGAAACATGAAGCCACAAAGTCTCTCTCCCCTCTCACATTTAAACTGTATGTTGGAATGGGTGGGGCATTCTAGAATTGAGCCAGCAATTCATGTCTAAGACAGAATCGGACAGAGCGGACAGGAGGGAAGTCCCACCGAGAGCTGGATTTGACGCACTATTGCAATATCCTCACCTCCTTGAGGTTTCTGGAGCATACCTGCCACACTGCTGGATCAGTGCCCTTCCACTCATTATTCCCTCTGCTATAATGTCGTTCCCTAAGAGACTCACACAGCTCACTCCTTTACCAACTCATGTCATCTTTCCAGTGGATCTTCCCTGACCGTCCAATTTTAAAATGGCAACCCCCTCACAACACTCCTTGCCTTCTCTCCCTGCCTCATTTTTCTTAATGGCATTTATCGCTATTTGATATGCCATATTTCTTTAAAAATTGTGTCTCTTCTCACCCTCTAAAATGTAAGCTTTGGAGATTGCTCCCTGCTATGTCTTCCTGACAGCTAGAACAACACTGAGAGGAAATAATAGGTGCTCAATAAATTTTTGTTGAATTAAAGTCGGGTTTCTTAACTTCAATACTATTAACATTTGGGATTAGATCATTCTTTAGGGGGCAGGGTGTGGCAGACCTATACGTTGAAGGATGTTTAGCAGAATTCCTGGCCTATACCCACAAGAGGCCAGCAGCACCCTCTGTGTTGCAAAAACCAAAAATATCATCTCCAAACATTTCCAAATAGTCCTTGGAAGAGAGGGGAGGGAGCAAAGTCTTCCTCAACCTGGAACCATTGAATTAAAGGAAGGCCGAAAGGGAAGATAGGGGGAAAGGAGGAAGGAGAGGGAGAAGAATGGAGTCTACACCACTGCCACACTGCAGAACCTAAGTTCTAGAATATATTACATTGTTGATTAACTGGTGTTTTTTTTTAAAGGCTTCTCTGAAGCCTTACTGAAACTGTCCTCACCCATGATTGGTGGAATTGAATATTTCTTCCTATGTTCTGTGCACAGATGATATTTTGTTATAGTCAGTCATTTACCTGTTGACCCCACTAGACTGTAAATTCCTAACTGCAGGAAGCAGTCCTCTAGTTTTATGTCATTTGTTCCTAGCTCTTTTGGACACACAGATTCTCAGAAGTGTTTATTAAGTAATACATAAAGGAATGGATGAGTTGATATACCTGGCAAAGAAAAATAATGTTAAATTAAAGGCACAGAATTCTATGAGGGATTAGAAGTAAGAAATAAATTTATGTCAGGAGACAAAACTCCATGGCCAATAATCCATGGAAAAATCAGCATATACCCTGTATCTAAAGGAAGAGAAAGCATCGAAGGGGAACTTCAGACATAGAGAATACTAGGAGAAGGTTAAGGCAGTGGAAAGCTCAGAGTTTCAAAGAATATCAAAGGGCAGATCATAGCAGTCCTGAGAATACTACAAGGAATAGAAAGATAAAGATGAGGACTTCCACTTCCAGAATAGGAATAGGGTTTATCCTCCTACTTACAGCATCTTAAAAACAAAGAGAGAGAGAGAGAGAGAGAGAGAGAGAGAGAGAGAGAGAGAGAGAGAGAGAGAAAGAGGGAGAGAAGCAGGCTAATGATTTGCATGACAGTGAACCTCAGGTAACAGAAGGACATTGGTCCCTGAGAGACAAGCAACAAACAAACTAAGCCCCATAATTGCCACCAGTGTGTTGCCTTGAAAGGGTTTGCAGGTCACACAAAGAGAGGAGAGGCCTAGCCAGGAGCAACCAGTGTCCTCTTTGAATTGAGGAGACAGAATTGAGAGTCCAGGGAGACCAAGGCAAACTTATTTTACCACACAGAGTAAGAGAGAGGAGAAAGATACAGAGAGACAGAACTAACACAGTGTCTCGTATTTGCACAGGCAGGATCAGTGCCTTTAAAAAAAAAAAAAACTAATGGAAAACCTAATGATTCACAGGACACTTGGAAGAATACACCTGAGGGTCTTGCTCAGTAGTAGGGAACAATTAGCCATAGATTGAACACTGCTCTGGTAAATCTTATTTATTTATTTATTTATTTATTTATTGCTGGTGTTGGAGATGGAACCCAAAGCGTTGCACATGCTAAGCAAGAGCTCTACCACTGAGCTTCATATCCAGTCCCAATAAATCTTAAAAGCAAGCTCCCAAAGGAACAGATTCCTCCAAAAAAATCCCATAATAAATTTTAAAAATATTTACAAAAATACAAAAGTACCCAACACCCAGTAAGGTAAAATTCACAATGCCTAGCATCTACTCAAAGATCACCAAATATGTAGAGATGCAGAAAAACATAAGCCACAATGAGGACATAAATCAATTAATGGAAACTGACACAGAACATACACAGATGTTAAAATTAGCATATAAGAACATCAAAGTAATCATTAAAACTGTATTATATATTCAAAAGATTAAGAGAGCAGATAAACTCATTTCAGGTAAAATATATTATGCTGTTGGTTAACTGTTGATTTTTTTTAAGACTTTCTTAAAAATACTTTTAGTTGTAGGTAGACACAATACCTTTATTTAATTAATTTATTTTTATGTGGTACTGAGGATCAAACTCAATGCCTTAACCGTGCTAAGTGAGCGCTCTACCACTGAGCCACAACCCCAGCACTGATGTTTTTAAGACTTTGAGGGAAAAGATTCCCCCTTATAGTTTAGAGCTGGAATGTTTCTGAAAGGCTCCTTTATTGATCTTCAATGCAGCAATGTTCACAGGTGGAACTCTGACTCAATCAGCAGATAAATTCATTGATCACTGCAGATTAATCCATTGATAGCTGAATGGATGAAAGGGAGATGGTGGACAATTGTAGATGGTGGGGGATGGCTGGAGAAAGTAAGCCACTGGGGGCAGGGCCTAGAAGGGTAGTTCTTTTTCTTAGCCTCTTCTTCTCTATCTTTTCGCTTCCTGGCTGCTTGAGGTAAGTGACTCTGCTCCACCTTGCCATCTCCACCACGATGCTCTGCCTCACCGCAGGCTCATAGCAATGGAGCCAGCCCACCTTGACCTCAACCCTCTGACACTGTGAGCCAAAATAAATCTCTTCTCCTTGAAGGGGTTCTTCTGTGTTTTGTCACAGGAAAAAAATCTAACACACCAGTACCCACCCAATTTAGGCACTTAAGTCTCTTGTTGATGTGCACAATTTTATATATATATTTGTACTGACACATTAGGTAAAAAAATTTAAAAAGTATTCTAAAAGCTCAGAGTACTTCCCTTCCGAGCATGGCATGCTATTTCTCCTTTCTGTTGCCTTATTTTTTCATCTGCATAGCAACTGAAGGGTGAGGAACCTGAGTGATTTGCTAATGATTAGGAAAGCATGTGGTCAGAATGATGGTTTGTGGTCTATAAGATGCTGGTAAAAATTCAAGAATTCTTTGGGCATAAAATTAACAAGAGTTCACAATCATAATGCTCATGAATAACAGACATTCATGCATATTTCTTCTAGTTGTTAGAACTTCAATGTATAAAACACATTAAAAATTTTGTCTCTGAAAATGACTATTCAGATATGAACAATAATTCTGAATGACATGTCTTATTTGAATAACTGACTTTGTTATATGTATTAAATATTCACTCATTTATCAAATATTTATTAAACATGAAAATATCTTAAGAATTCTGCTTTAAAAAGCCAGTACCCCTGAATTACCAGAATTCAGGAACTTTTAAGACTTTACTGCAACTTATTTTCTTAAATTTTCAGGCTACTCTTTTTCTGCAATCACCTGTGGTTTCCGTTGTGTCCTCTCATGATCTCGTTTCTGGAAGAAATCTGCCTCCTGCAGCTTATTTAGCCCCACACTCTTCTTCAACTCCAAAGGAACCTGGTTTAGCCTCATCACACGCAGCACATCACAGGGTGGTTTGCTCTGATAGCCAAGGTCAAACTGTTTCAAGATGAACTCTTCATCGATGTTTGAACTTCCCTAGAAAAATACCACAAGCATGAATGGAGGGCAGCGATAAAATACTCCTTGCTTTCTCCTTTCATCTAAGGGAGGTTTCTGGCCACTGCTGGGGAAGTTCCAAGAGAGGGGGAAAAATTGCTCAGTCATCACTCACTGCAGACAAGAAGTATTTGGGACTGGAGGGCTTTGTCAGTACATTAAGAGACCACTTAGGACCTGCAGGAAGTCTCTGGGGGAAATAATGTCTGTTTGCTCAAAAGCAAACCTCTCCAACACTTCATAGCAGTGACTTATCTAGAGGGATTTTCCAGATGCATCTAGATGTGGCAGTGCTTGTTTTGTCCACATACCCTTATAAGGAAATCTGCCTTCCTCGTGGCCCCAGGGGAAAGAGGCAGTTCTAGTCAGCCATGTTTCAGCCATACTCAGAACAACCTCTCCATTTCTTCCCCCAGCTGTAGGTGGAGGGAGGAGAGGTGAGCACATTAAGAACAGCTAATCTGTACTCTCTTAACCTATGATACAGTTAATGCTGAAAGATAAATTAGACTAACAGAATCCCACTCTGGAGGAGAAAATTGGGAAACAGAATGAGGATATTAACGACTGGAGCTGAAGGTGGAGTGGAGAGCATAAGAGAAGTCCAGAAACAGTCGGGCATAAAAGATGAGTGGAATCAGAATGAGGATGAAATGAGAATGGAGCAGAATCAGAGCAAGCAGTATCAATGAGACGAAAACCAAATAGCATAAAAGGAAAAAGCTTGAGTTAGTTGTGAAGAAAATACCACAGGGTGATTTCATGAGGACCTAAGTTGTAGAATTTGGGTGAAGATGGGATCTTGGTCATAAAGGAACACAAAGAAGGCTGTTTACCTGATCAACTGTCTACCAATCTAAGGTTCTTCAAATTTCCTGCCTAAAGGAGTTATCTCCAGTGGAAGGACAGGAGAGGCTGAAGGGCTGGAAATTAGCAAGATTATGAAGAAGCAGTAGTGCAGGCACCAGGTATAGTGGACATCATTTACCTTCTCTAGCACCTTTATTCCAATCACCTGCTGGGGAGCTTTCCCCTGTTGGGAGCTACCACATGGGAATCCAGCGCCCCCTAGCTTTGAGCGATAAGAGTGTGGAGATGTGGCAAGCCAGCCATGGGCTGTGTGTGCTTGAACTCTTTGAGCATTGAGCGCACAGGGTGGACTGAACCAATGTTGCCCCTCTGTTTGGGTGGGCAGGGTCCTGCCTTTTTACTCACTCTGCCTATGATCCTCACATAGCACATGAGATGGGTGTGGCCTTCCTAGATGTCAGTCAACCTATGACAGCAAGACCTCAGGAAGCTAGACTCAACCCCCTGAAACCTGACCCCTTGCCTCATTTGAATGGCTTCTCCCCAATAAAAGGGTTGAGCATGTGCTCCTTGCTCTCTTTCTTGCCTGCCTTGCCCCCCCTTGTTGGAGCTGCGGCTGAGGAGTGGTCACTGAACCCCAAGAAAAGGTACTTTCTGTGTCTCTGCCTTTATTTAGTCCCCAAATTCACTTGGAATGATGCTGACCAGTTTAGTCGTGTGACAGGACATCTCTCCCTCCTTTTCCATCTGCTGTAGCTGAGATGGACACCCTCATTTCTTGGCCTCAGGGTTAGACATGTGACCCGACCTAGCCAATGAGTATTCTCCATTTTCTTAATCAGAGTGGTTAATTCAGGCACAGGCATATGACCCAAGTTAGTTTCAGCCTTGAACTATTCCCTATTGAAAAAAGGTTATGGGCTGGGGTTGTGGCTCAGTGGTGGAGTGCTCACCTAGCATGCATGAGGCACTGGGTTCGATCCTCAGAACCACATAAATGTAAAATAAAGATATTGTGTCCACCTAAAACTAAGAAATAAAATAAATATTTTTAAAAAAGAAAAGAGGTTACTTTCTTCCCACTTAGTTGTTCACTGGTAGAACATAAGCTTGGAAATTTTAATGACTGTTTTTGGCATCTCTTGGGGAAAGACTGCTTGCAAATGAAGTAAGACAGAGGGGTGCAGGAAAGATAGGGACAGCCTCTAAAAACATTTCAGCACCTGCATCCAGCTGTGGCCCAACCTCCTAATGCCTCTGGTTAAATTCCCTTTTCTCTTTTAAACCAGTCAGAATTATACTGGGGTCTGGAGGGTAGTCACTAGCGAAGGAAACTGTGATAAATAAATACATTAACTAAAACCAACTAATACACTCAAAACATGGTGGGCAGGGTTGGTAATAAATACTGGAAAGCCTTAAATCCATGGAAAGCATCAGTAAAGTAAACATCTACAGAGACTCAGAGAGAGAAATAAGTAACTTACTAAGTTCTTTTTTTAAAGTTAGATCTACATGGTTACATATAGTTGGGTTTATTCCAACAAACTCAGACATGCATGGAAATTGATTTCAGTTCATGATTGCCCCTTTTCCCTCCTGTCCCGCTCCCTAATAGATTCTTGAAGGAGGGCAAGGAAAGTCCTTGATAACTGAGTCAAAAGTCTCTTCCTGTCTAAAAACATTTTGTAAAGTTTACAGTCAAGCACAGCTGCCCAAGTACTTAGAAATAAATATAACTCAGAGGCATGGATTAGAGAAGGAATAAAGGAGAGAAAATAAGTTCCTGACATTGAAATGGAAAATTAAAAAAAAATTTCATATCAATGACGTGAGATATAAACATAAATGTTTAAATTAGCTGCAAGCTTGCAAACTCCAGAAATTTCACTACCAGAAGTATTTCTATTACAAATGACAGAAAAGACTTATTCCTTTATGACTTGGATGATTTGATTTATATTTTATTCAAACAGTGTTTTTGAATGAAAGCAACTTTGAGATTGACTTTTTCAAGTAGGTTTAAGTATTCCTGCTAACTTACAAGAGTGGTAGCCCACTTGCAGAAGTCACTAACTTCTCTGCGTACATTTTCATGCAGAAGAGGACCATCTTCATGGAGCACATCTGTTTTACTTGGCTTTTCTTCATAAAGCCACTGGCCTGAATGTGACATAGGAGTCTTCTTGGGACTAAAGATAATGAGATCACCAAATAGTTACTATTTGAGGCATTAATTATCCTTTGCTATATTTAAGAAATACTTATTAAGCGCCAAATATGTGTCAGGCAGTCATTAGATATCAGGAATTAGCTATAAATAAGTCAGGTCCCTGTCCTCAAAAAGCTTATGATTGAGTAAGAGGCAAAAATAGAAAATACATAAGCATATGTCTTTATAAGTGATTACAAGTGATATAAAGAAAAATAAAATGGGGCAAAAGGGATGGAGAGGGGTGGCAGATGGCATTTCAACACAGAAAGTCTCTTTACTACAGTGATAGCTGAACAGAGATCCAAAATAAGAAAGGTCAAACCATGAAATATGGAATCATGAGAACACCAGGCAGAAAAGACAGGCCTGTGCATGGACCCTGAGGTGGGGGTGTGATGAGAATGTTCAGGATCAGCAGAGACCAGTATAACTGGAGAGGAGTTGTTAAGGATTAGAGTAGAAGAGGAGGAGGCCTGGGAGTTAACAGAGGCCTGATCATATGGGACCTTAAAGGCCACTGTATTTGGGTTTTGCCCTGAGTAAGTATGCAACTGGAGAATTCTAAGCGAAGGAATGGCACTACCCAACTTAAAGGATCATTTTAGCTATTACGTGACAAACAGATTTGAAAGGGGAGCAAGGGTGGAGGGCATAAGACCAACTGATAAACTATTGCAATAATCCAGGCAAGAGATGATGGTATCTTGGAATGAACTAGAAGTAGTAGAGAGGTGAGATTTTGGATCTCAAAAATAAAGACATTAATATTTTTTGGCAGATTGCATCTGTTGTTCTAGAAACAATGGGAAGAATGGAACCCCATTAAATGGAACCCTCAATAAATATTTATTTATTGAGCTGAAGAAGACAGGAGTAGGAACAGGTTTCAGGGAGAAATCTAGAGTTCAGTTTCAGACTTGTCTAGTTTGAGCTGCCAATTATACACCCAAGGGAAAATATTGAATTATCTATAAATAGAGGGACTGGACAAGGTCACTTGGGTGTGAGTATACAGAACAGAAGATGTCAGAGACCGAAGCACTTCCAGCTTTAAAGGAAATGAAGAGGGAAAAGGAAACGAAGACCAAAGAGAGGATCATGAGGTAGAAGAAACACTAAGAAAAGAGTATTCCAGAAGCCAAATGAAGAAAGTCTTATGAGAAAGATGATGTCATTAACTGTGTCAACGGCTATTGATACATCAAGGGTGTTGATCACTGAAGACGGGTCTAGTTCAATCATGACCTTAACTAAGCAAGTCCAGAGAGTGAGTGCTAGAGATAAAAGCCTGATTGCTGTGATTTCAAAAGACAGGAAAAAAAAGGGAAGTGTGTTTGTCTGGTTCTGGTCAAGGGCAGTTGTCTTCAAGATGGGAGATATCACCTCATGCTGTGGCAGGCTGATAATGGCCTCCAAAGAGAGAAGGTGCTAATCCTTGGAACTCGTGTAACTTTATTTGGAAAGAGTCTTTGCAGATATGATTCAGTTAAAGCATTTGAGATGGGGAGATTATCCTGGATTATCTGGGTGGGCCTTAAATGCCACTATAATTGTCCTTGTAAGAGGGGCAGAGGAAGACTTGACACACACAAAGGAGAAGGCAATGTGAAGACAGAGCAGACAGACTTGAAGCTGCTGATCTTGAACACTGGTATGATGTGGCCAAAGCCAAGGAATGCCAGCAGCCACCAGAAGCTGGAGGAGGTAAGAGATCCCCTGGAGCCCTGGAGGGATCATGACCCTGCTCATTTTTTATTTCAGCACAGTGATTCTTATTTCAGATGTCTGGCCTCCAGAGCTGTGACATAATACAGTTCTGTTTTTAGCCAAAAAGTTTATGTTCAATTTTTATATTATCTAAAGGAAATGGATCATATGCTTACAGAAAAAATTCACCTTTATGTAGTTATGCACTTATGTTGTGATACCATAATTTATTAACATTGTAATATTATTCATTTCCTCTGTATTTTACCTTCTCCTCTTTCAAGTAGATAACCCATTCATTTGTAATTTCTTGCCAAGAGATTTTTGCAGGATTCAACAAGGAAACTGCCCAAAGTGAAAGGCAGATCCTATATGTATATTTCTTATTTTATCATAGATCTTTACATATAATATTCCTCTCCCTTCTATACTCAGGTTCTGAGCAATTTGAAAAATAATGCAAAGACCAAAGACAAAAGTCAAAATATCACCTTTATTACTAATAGCAGCCATGTTGGATGATGGCTTTAGATCCAAGAGGGCTTGCTAACTGAAATTCAGATACTGGTGGACTCTCCCACACAGTTCCCAGCAGGGCCGGATGAGTGTCGACTTCCCCTCTAGGGTGGAGGAACAAGAACCTGTGCTTCACATGGGCCTTCTTGCTCCCCAGTGGAAGAGGGGGAAAACTGAGGTGAGCATGCCCAGTTGTTCTCCCAAAATTCATCAAGGAGTAGACTGAAGAGCCAAAAATGTCACTACAGTAGAACACCTATCACCTTAGGTCAACAAACATATGATTCAATACACTGTATTCTCTCTTAATCCACCTCCATGTAGGTAACTTGTGTGACTGACAGAGCTCTTCAGGCCACTACTGAGCACAACAACCAGGGTCTCCAAAGCTGTAAACATTATGGGTTCTGTGACTAGGCTACTAGATAGTTCTCCCCCATCTACAACACACCCCAGTGAGCTCATTGAGTTTTAAAAGCCAAATATGTATCCCAAATTCATTTATGTCAACTATACTTATCATGGTGTTTACATTATTTAATTAAATATTAGGTGAATTGGGGAAACAAGAATGTGATACAAAATAGAGATGTTTCTACTAAGTGTAAGTCTTTGGAAAATTTCAATGTGTGGTTTATGCAAGAAAAATGAGTGGAAACTTCAAGCAGTATACTTTGCCAAAAGACTTTATATTAAGATTAGCAAGTGAATGTAAACGTATGCTTTAGGAGAAAATCATCCTTTACACTTCCTTGTATTATTAATTATTTTGGTGATTATCCAATTATCTACTGGCCTCAGTAATGTTGAGTAAAAGGGCTCCTGCCATAGATAATTCAAGAACCATTATATACCAATTAGTCAGGCTTTTTGCTGTTCTCTTGTTGAACAAGAGTCATGTGGACACCCATGTTTGCACCATTGCTAAATAAATCATATTCATTTAAGAAATCAGCACTGTTCAGAGCAGGATCCTGGACATTTTTCCTTCCTCCTTAAGAGCTTAGTTATTTTGCTTCTTCAAGATTATTCTAAAGATGAAAAGCTTCGAGAAGGTAATTTCTACAATGTTTTTTCAGGTGACAACCACGAGCGAGGGGTGAAGAAGAACACTCACAGTCTCAGGCACACTTGGGTAGAACGGTTTTTAAAAAGCTTTGTGGGCTCCTTTGTTCCTTTCTTGGTGTCCTGACAATAAGCCCAAGTATCCTCCAGCTTCCTCTCAGGATCAAGCACTTCCAGCACCTGTAATAAGAGCTACAAACACAAAAAGCCTTAGCAAGAAAGAAAAAGGTGCTGGCAAGGGGGCCCCTATTCTAAAGCAAAACAGACCTACTGGCCCCTTTGTTTGCCCTTTTCAGTCAACCAATGCCATCTATCGAGTTCTGTGCCAAGTACTTTGTGGAGTGCTGTGGACAAATCTCTCATCACCTCGACAGGAGGTGTACAGGCTTTGTACTATAGCAGTCCCACCTCCTCTAGATGGAATATGCCGCTGGATCTACCCCATCCCCAAAGGTCCCGTGGGTTAAAGTGTCTCCATAGAATTTCTGAGGTTTTTTCCTGCCCAACCCATATCCTTCCCCCCATGAATAACAGTATCTGGCTTGTTCTTTGGAGAATCACCTCTCCCTCCATCTCAACCCATATGATCTGAATCAGCCTAACCACATCCTGACTCTATAGGCAGGTCAGGTCAATCAGAACCTCAGCGACTGGTTTAGGAATGGGCTTATCAATTAAGTGGAATGCATAGGATTTTGCTGGGATTGTGGTGGGTAGAATTTAAATCTGGAGCTGCTGGTAGCCATCTTAGCACCATAAAAAGAGGTTCCTCAAAAAAAAGCCAAAATATTTAGATGGGGAGGTCAGACATGGAAATAAGAGCCATAATCCTATGCCATGTCTCTGTGCCATTTGAGGTGTGTGCAAACAATCTCTCTGTTATGGATTCAGAATCTTGGGCCTACAGGAGGCAGTGAAGAAAAGCCCCAGGTGGAAATGAATGGATCAGCAATTCCAGCTGTTCTCTTAATGGACTTCTCTGCCACTAGTCCCTTACTCATTAAAAATATTTATTGAGCATCTACCATAGGCCAAGTACTGGTAATACACAATGAAAGACAGGTGAAGTCCCTGTGCTCACAGTGAGAAGCCAGTGGTGACAAAACCTATGATGACACCTAGAGCCTGGGGAGGAACAAAGGGTGAGGGTGGAAGGGAAGTGCTATTGTGTGCAGGCCTCTACAACAAGGGGACATTTGAGCAAAGAGCCGAAGGAGAGAGCCAGGCAGTCATCTAGGGACAAGTCATCTAGGCACAAGAACAGAGACCAGACATGCTCATAAGTTTCACAGAACTTGGAATGGAGTGAGTGCAGAGGAGCAGGCCATGAAGGTGGAGAGGGAACAGAGCAGGAGCTCTCAGGGCCTCTCAGACCAGGGAAGGACTTTGGCTTTACCAAATGAGAGGGTTTTTTTTGTTTTTTTTTTTTTTTTTTGAGCAGGGAAGTGACATGATTGGATTTACCTCTGTGAACCATGAACAGGCTTGAGGGTAGACGTGGGGGAGCTGGCACTGCTAGTGCTCTGCCCTACCCATTCTGCCCTTTCTCCTCAAATCTAACAGAACCTGGGTTTCGTTCAAGGCTGCAGGCTCAACTAAGAAACTCAATTTCTAGACACCCTAGGAGCCAGAAGTGATGTTTCCTGGGAAAGCTATTATGTGCATCATTATGAGACAGAGTCAGCTGGCATGTACCTTTAACCTTTGCCCCTTCCCCCTTTGGGTTTGAAAGACAGATTTAATGCCATTCTTAGATATAAGGACAAGAGACATAGGCTAAGGAGTATGGAGCAGAACATCAGAAGTCAAGACATTGGGGACATGACAGAGCTGCTGCCAGCCTTGGCTTTGACGATCTGGTAGATTTTCTCCATGACCTTTCAGGTTATATGTGTGGTGTCCATCTGCCCGTAAGTACTTTAGGACACCTCCTAGCTCCAAGCTAATGGGTCAAAAGTAAGAATGAACAATTCCCTCCATTTCTCCTTCTCCCCAAAAGTCACAAAGCAAAGTAGATTGAGGGGGAAAGTCAGAATGTCTTGGTTTGCTGTACCTTTGCAAGTCAAATGGTTTCATAGGTGTGAAGGGAGAAGATAAGTGTTGGTGCTGTTTGTGTTTCTTGGGGGCAGAGAAAGGAAGGCTTCTCTGAGCCCCATGAGAATGTCACCCTGGGGGGCATTCTTTTCTTCTTATCAATGAGTCCCCTCTTCAAGGAGAGTCTCTGGGCATCTCCAGAGAATTTTCTCCAAGGCCCCCGTGAAACCCATCCCACAAGCCCTGGGACAGATCACCTGGGCAGGCATGGCTTCTTCCAGGTGGGGATGGAGAGCCAGGGGATGCAGAGCCAAGCGGGCTTCCACATCCTCCACAAAAGCCTTCCGAGCCCGTTGGGCCCACGAGAGCCTGGAGAGCAGGGATGCTTCCTTGGGCAGCTCATTCAATCTCTTCTTGGAAGGTGGTGGAGGGACTCCATGATGAATCATGGGCAGAAAGCTCTCCTTGGGGCCCTGAGCGATTAGACCTCCACAAGGCCGACAGCCTTTCCTGAAGTCCAGGCCCTCTCCCACAAACACCCAGCACTGGCTGTTCAGGGATCTAGGGAACTTCAGCCTTCTGTGCACAGTGAAATACCCGGAGGACAGATGCTCTTTGTACCTAGAAGACACCAGGTAAGATCTTATGGACCAGAGGATTGGGATGGGAGAAGGAGATCGCAAGGAGGCTGGACTCAACCTTTCTAAGGGAGAGATTATGGGAAGAAGTATTCACAAGAAGGCTGAGTGGATCATACTCCAAGTTCATGGCACAGTATCACTGGTTTGTGCAAAGACTCACCCCAGCTTCCTTTATTCTCTTATTATTACTATTTTAAAATTTAAGATAGGGTCTCGCCACGATGCCCAGGTTGATCTCAAACTTGTGAGATCAAGTCACCCTCCCACCTCAGCCTCTCAAGCTGCTGGGACCACAGGAGTGCGTCACCACATCTAGCTCTATTTACTCCATCTTGTCCCCACATCTCACCTCCACTGCCCTCATCTGCAAAACCACTCTAACGGATTTGAAGTGCATTCTTTGTTTTCATACCTCATTGAAATATCTGAATTGTCCTTTTATGTGCATGTATTCTTAATTTACTTAAATGGTAGACACTGTTCTGTTTCTTGTTTACAAAGCACTGTACTTCAAAGACTCATCCATGTCACGTGTATTTTAAAGACCCATCCAAGCATAAGTCTAACCCATTATTCAAACTACTGCCACCACATCTTGCATTCATTCTTGAATTCTTGTGGCTTGAACTCTGTAAGAAAGACACTCAAATTGCTGACCCTTTCAGGGACACTTTGTTTTCACTAAATGCGACACAGTGTAGTAGAGTGGAAAGAATCTGGGTCCCAGTGACAAATTAGCCTCTAATTAGCCGAGTGACACTGGCACTTTATACAACCTCTAGGGTCTGTGGTTCCTCCTGAAACTCAGGAGGTGAAAGGCTGCAAGATGGTGGCACATAATGCTGTCACTTGGCCTTCTTTGTGTTTTAATAAGAATCATAATAATTAACATATATTGAGCACTTCCTACATGACAGGCACTGAACTAAGTTCTTTATATGCATTGGTATGTTTAAATCTCATATTATTATTATTTCATTTACAGAAAACTGAGGCACAAGAAGTTAAAAGATAAAACACACATGTCAAAGCTCAAGCAGCTCAAGAGTGGTAAGGCTGCGATGTTAAGCCAGGTAGTGTGGCACCAGAAAAGTCTGCTTAACAACTACATTAGAGCTCCCAATATATAAACATGTTCACATAAACAAGCTAGAACTCCAACTCCTCTTGAAAAATCAGGAGAGTTTCCAAGATCTGGGAACACTGGGTCCACCTTTCTATGGAGCCACCATTGGCTTAATGGCTGCCAGTTCAGGCAAATCACATGCTGTCTCCTTCCCAGCCTCCACCTCTCCCTACTGCCTCTTAAGCAGCTGCTTCAGCCAGCTTCCTTACCCACCAGGCCCCTGTTTGCAGTGAGTATTTAGGTCATGAAGATGAGATGGAAGCCATGAAACCAGCTCCTCTATAACCTGACACAACCAGCCAATGCCAAAGCCAGGACTTGGAACCTGAGCACTGATTTTCCTAACACATCTCAGGTCCTTGGTCAGATCTTCGTGGAGCACTGGTGTCTTTTCCTGAAGCCTCTTCTACCTGAAGTTCCCTATTATCAAAGAAAAATGGCTCTTTACACCCAATCTAATCCTTACTGTAACCATAGCCACTAAGCATTTTTAAGAGATTCTAGCCTTGACCCTATTCTTTTCTGGTGAAAACTAGAAGCTTCTTATTTGCTGTGAGTATGTGTGTGTGTATATGTGTGTGTGTGGTAAAGGCTTAACCCAGCTCTATTGTGAAAATTTAAATGAAAGGACACAAAAGGGTGACTTGTAAAACGTTGCTCTCTGCCTTGTATAAATCACTCTCAGATAGCTAAAAGCAGAAGGGTGTTGAAACTGCATCTAAGCTTGAGATTAACAACCCATTCAGCATGACCTATTGGCAAGTAACCCTCCTCATTATTAAATATTTTCACATTTATTTTCCACATATTTATGACTAACTCAACTATCCAAGCACTTCTTAAAATCAAATCAGACAACAAACGTTTTTGCTTAAGCATAGCCATACAATTCAAAATGGGAAATGTGAGTGCCTAGTCCAGGCTTCTTAGAACATTAGAGCTGGCAGAAACCCTGAAAGAAATCTTGACCACCTTCTTCACTTTCAATGAGAAAACAGTTCTGAGAGGTGAGCGAGGCTAGAGGGAGTGCTTTCATCTACTTCACATAGCCTCATAGAGCTAAAGAGCTCACTTCTCTGCATTTTGTAGGGAACAAGGGTGCTGGGGATTTTACCCAGGGGTGCTTCACACTAAGCTACATTCCCAGACTTATTTATTTATTTATTTATTTATAATTTTGAGATGGGAATCTCACTAAGTTGCTGAGGCTAGCCTTGAATTTGTTATCCTCCTGCCTCAGCCTCCTGAGTCACTGGCATTATAGACATCTGTCACCTCTCTGTATTTTGTTAAGCCCAGGAAATCTTGCTTGACCCATAAAATTGAAAACACTTTTTTGCCATGCATAGTAGTGCATGCCCATAATCACAGCAACTTGGGAGGCTGAGGCAAGAGGATTTCAAGTTGGAAGCCAGCCTCAGCAACCTAGCAAGGTCCTAAGTAAGTTAGTAAGACTCTATTTCAAAATAAAAACAAAAAAGGACTGGGAATGTAGCTCAGTGGTCAAGTACCCCTGGGTTCAATCCCTAGTGCCACCAAAAAAACAAAACCCAAAAAAACCCAACATTTTTTTTTTGAGAGAGAGAGAGAAAATTGTTTTAATATTTATTTTTTAGTTTTCTATGGACACAACATCTTTATTTTATTTTTAAATGGTGCTGAGGATCAAACTCAGCGCCCCGCGCATGCCAGGCGAGCAGGCTACCGCTTGAGCCACATCCCCAGTTCCCCCCAACATTTTTTTCCCCCAACCAATACTATTTTCACAGACACTAGTATAAGACATATGGCTAGTTCCCTCCATAATAATTGCAATGAACTTTGGAAATTTACCATAAAGAAATGAAAAATTCTTTTTCAGCACTGGGGATTGAACCCAGGGCCTCACTCACACATGTTAGGTAAGTACTCTATCACTGAGATAAATGCCTAACCCTAAGAAATGAAAACTTAAGTTCTTTCAAAAACCTTAACACAGTGTTCACAGCAGCTTTATAGGTAGTAGAAAAAGAAACTGGAAACAACCTGCATTTGCTCAACAGGTGACTAGATAAAGTGGGGTACACCCATAACACAGAACACTACGCCGTACCAAAAATGAACAGATGGTTGATACACACAACCTGGATGGATCTCAAGAATCTATGACCAGTGAAAAAGAGCCAAAATCAAAAGGTTATACACTGTATTATTCTACTTAGCTAACATTCTTAAAAGAACAAAATTATAGAAATGGAGAACAGATTTGTGGTTGTCAAGGGCTGGGGGATGGGAAAAGGAGTGATGAGAAGGGGATAGTACAAAGTGGTTCCTTAGTGGTCATGAAACACTTTGCATCTTGCAGTATACACATGACAATGCACAGAGCTATATGCACACACAGGAATGTAAGTAAAAACTGCCGTGATCCAGAGAAGGTCTGTAGTCTAATTACTAAGTTATATCAATGTCAATTTCCTGGTTTGGTAATGGATTATAGTTATGTAAGATAGTACCCTTGGAAGCAGCTAGGGGGAAGGATGTGTGGGAACTCTGAACTTTTTTTTGCAATCTCTTGTGAGTCTACAGTTATTTCAAAACAAAACAAAACAAAAAGGGTGTAAATGGGGGGAGGGACCCAAAATCTCAAAGAGTTCATAATTGCTAACATATATACAGTGCATACTATATGCCAGTGACAGGTTTCCATGCGCTACCTCCCTTAATCACCCCAACAATTCTATAAAGCTGATTCCTTTTATTGTTCCCGTTTCACAGTTAAGAAAAGTGAGCCCAGAAGGAGCCGCTAAGTTACTTAACGTCACCAGGCAAGCATGAGGAGACCTGGCTTTTCTGATTCTAGACTTTGGCATCTTAACCGTCACTAGGAACAGCCTCCACCGTGAGCCAAAAACAATTCTTATGAATTGGCAAAAGGAAAAGTCTCATGTTCCTGCCCACAGTGGCTGTGACAAGAACCCTCCAAAAAGGTAGGAGGCCTCCCCAGCACCTGATTCATTACCCCACCAGGGGCTTGGCTTGGCTAGAGCCATCAGTTGGATTGCCAAAGGCTCCAGGTACGGCTGATGCTTTACACTGGATGTAAATTTGGCATCAGTGAAACAGTCGGCCCACGAAGGAAAGAAAGGGTGGGTTAGAGGATCGAAGCTCAAAGGCTCAGCTAGGGCAGCCTCCACGGTTGACTCCGTGGCCATCAGTCTCCTATCTGGCTGGCGATGTTAATCTACAGCCCCTCGGTAATGGTGAGGATGAGGGAAGGAGGGGTCCTTTGCTAGGCGCCCTCTGCCACCATCGGCCACCCCCACCCCCCGCGCCCCTGCCCCAGCCCCTTGAGCACGGGATCCAGGCGCCCTCGCGCGGCCTCCGCGCGCCGCTTACCGGGGCCCGCAGTACCGGCGCTCGGGCACCGGGGCCAGCGTTCCCGACCGCAAGAGCCGCCTGCAGTCGGTCATGGTGCCAGAGGCTGCATGATCTCTGCCCGGCCCTGGGTGGTGTGTTCCCCGCCCGCCTGTCCGTTGTCTGGGAGACCGCGCAGCCCTGCGCTGCCCGGACCTGCCCAATTTGCCCCGGAGCAACCCAGGCACCTCCCCAGCCCCGCGGTACTGCCTTACCCGGGCTAGCACGTCCTTCACCCCAGGGGCGGGGACCTGGCCTAGGAGAGGGAGAAAGAGCCGACCTTGATTTAATCATGTTTTAATCCGCAGGGAAATCGGGTTCATGCCCTTCCCACAGAAATTTAACACCAGCTGGACCAGGCCTTTAGGGTTCATCACGTTTTTAAAAAGTGTTTACCGAAGGAAAGGAAGGACGAAGGCAGCGGGAGAGAAAGAGAAAGCAAGTGAAAGAAAGAGGAAAGAGGGAATGTCTTCTAGCACCAAGATGTTTTGCTGGAGGCCCGGGAACATCCTGTCTCACTGCCTCTGGAAAGGGCTGCACACTGGTATCCATCCATTATTTCCATGGTCCCTTTCAGCTCTTGTGCCATTTAATTCCTGTGATTTAACCTGTTTGCCTCAACCCGCTTCCAGCAGGGATGTCACCATCCAGATGGGTTCGGATTGCAGGAGGTTGTGTTTTGGTTTGGCGAAATTCCACCTCCTCCTTCTGAGTGTTCCTGATTTAAATGTAAGCATTGCTTCCAGAGGAAATACCAGGAAAGTATTCTGTCCCCAAATTACTGCAGTAGTTAAATTGTTTGTTATGGTGGATTTTTTTTTTTTTTTTTTAAAGCCAGTTAGCCAGAATCTTCTCATCTTCAAACTCTGGGATTAAGATAATTTCACCTTTGGGAATCTATCAGATACTGTTAAAGGTCTTCTGGCCTGAACTAGTTCTGCATTTCCACTGGCTATTTGTGTTCTGCAGCAGAGAGCACTGGGGTCCCATTGCCTGTAACAATAAATGTCCTCTTGGGCATTGTTACTTAAACTTCGTTATTACCTAGTCTGAAAAGAGGGAAATAATAGTATCTACCTACAGAGTTATTAGGAGAAATCAATAAGATAACGAATGTAAAGAATTTAGTACCAGAAATCGAGAATTACTGTGTTGTAGTAGTATTCCAGGTGTGAAGTGGGGTCAGGTAATATTGTTCCTGTCTACCTCACAGAATTGTTATAAGAGTTAGTGGACACATGCCTAATTTTTTGAGGACCCATTCCTCATTTAGCATTTATCCTGAAGAATTGAAGTCGCCATACTATAGTGATACATGCATATCATGTTTATAGCAGCACAGTTCACAATAGCCAAACTATGGAACCAGCCTAGGTGCCCATCAATAAATGAATGGATAAAGAAAATGGATATGCACAATGGAGTTTTATTCAGCCATAAAGAACACTGAAATTATGTCATTTGCAGGAAAATGGATATAACTAGAGACCATTATGTTAAGCCAAATAAACCAAATTCAGAAGGTCAAGGGTCTTATGTTTTCTCTCATATGTGGAAACTAGAGAGAAACAAGGATAAGAAGAGGGGGCAGGGATCCATGAAAATCAAGGGAAATCAGTACAGGAAAAGGACCAGGGGGCTGGAGGAAGGGAGGGAGGGTGGCAGTTCTGGGGAGTGATATTGATCAAATTATATTGTTATATTGTGTGCCCATACAAATATGTAGCAATAATCCCATCATCATGTACAACTATAATGTACCCAATAAAAATGTGGAAAGAGAAAAACTTAAAAATAAAACCAAACAAACAAAAAAAAAGTGGAGAAGGCTTTATGGGTCATCATTATAAGTAGCCAAATCAGTTTTTTTAATTATCTTTGATATTAGTCTATTTTGTGCTTAAGGTATAAGGTGTCCTCCAAAAGCACATGTGTGAAATAATGTGAGAATGTTCACAGGTGAAATGATTAGATCCTCAACTGATTCGGATTAACTGGGTGGGAACTGTAGGAAGACAGGGTGTGGCTGGAGGAAGTAGGTCACTGGGGCTTGGCTTTGGAGTTTATATTTTGTTCCTGGTGAGCAGAGCTCTGTATCTGCTTCCTGGCTGCTATGTCTTGAACTGTTTTCCTCTACCACACCCTTCAGCCATGATATTCTGCCTTACTTTGGGCTCTGAGCTATGGAGTCCACAGTCTGTAGATTGAGATCTCGGAGACCTTTGAGACTTCTGAAACCGTGAGCCAAAATAGACGTTCCTCCTTTAAGTTGTTCTTGTTGGGTCTTTTGGACACAGCAGATCAGAATCTGACTATAACAGTCTGGTGGAAAATTCAAGCTTTTATTATTTTGAAGAGGTAGAATTGTACAGGAGAAGACATGTCTCTGAAGAAGAGTCCGAGGAGTTTCTAGAGAGAAGGGGGAACTTGACTCAGGACCAGTGGGGTTCTTGGCATAAGTGACGGAAAAAAATTTCAGCGTGTGCAAGTCAAAGGCACAGACAGAGGCTTATTTAAGAGAGTACATACATATTCAAAGAGGCAATTTTGAGAGAAGTGCATTTGGAGTAAAGCAAGAAAAACGTATTCAAGGGAGATAGCAAACCATTTATGTGGGGTGTTAATATTTATAGAGGGCTGGTGCTAAGGGCTGGATTAGAGCTGGAAGCAGGGTGGAGCTGCACAATTTTGTGCAAGTTTTCTCTGTGCTTGTACATTGCCTTAATGTTACGATGGCATGCATGGGTCAAGGGTGCCAGCCAAGGGCTCAACACCAAGAAGTTGCAATTATTTCTGCATATCAATGTTTATAGGCACTTCCTTTGAGACTCAATATCTTTCCCTTTATTCAAAATTCCTATCTCATGATTTCTATAGAAAACTGGGGGTAGGCATCCTGTCCATTTTGTTCCTATTATTCTGGCTGGCACACAATAGGTGCTTTAGTCAGCTTTTGCATCTCTGTGACCAAAATATCTGACAAGAAGAACTTATAGGAGGAAATGTTTATTTAGGGCTCATGATTTCAAAGGGCTCAGTCCATAGGCAGCCAACTCCATTACTCTGGGTCCAAGGTGAGCCAGCACATCATGGGGAAAGGGTCCAGCAGAGGAAAAGCTACTCAGTTCATGGCAGGGTCAGGAAGCAGAGAGAGAGAGAGAGACAGAGAGTGAGTGAGTTACCACCTGGTCAGTCCATTCAAACTAAGACTGGACTGTCTGGTTACTGATTAGCTCTCAGGATCTAATCATTTTGCCTGTGACCATTCCTGCATTAACAGGAGCTTTTGGGGAATACATCATATCCAAACCATAACAGTAGTTATTTATGACAGGGTGACCAGCACCCTAACAGAGCAAGTTCCTGCTCAGGAGATGTGAGCTGCCTGGGAAAATAAAAAGTCTGAAATAATCAGTAAGAAATAAGACAAAGCCAAAGATTAGATTTAAAAGGTGGAGTAGGTCTTCCAGTCCTGATAGGAAGTGGCACTGAACAACTGAAAAAGACCCCAATTCTTTATTTAAGGGGGAATATATCAAAGGCAAGGATAAGGTTTCAGTGGGAGGAGTCTTATTTGGTGCTTGCTTCTTACTGTGGCAGGGGTCTAACAGTAAACAGGTTGATTGACAGTTGGCAGGCTACACCCATCTCCAAAGGCTGTTTGATCCTAAAGTTGTGAGCTAACACAGGGGACAATGATTGGGGCATTCTCTAACAGAGTTTTCAACCCAGGAGCTCCCAGAAGAGTGGCCTCCCTGCCTTAATGGCTCAAAGAAAGCATAATTTATATATATGGCCTGCAACAGTTATTCATTCAATAACTTTTGATCTGTTGTGTACTATGCTAGGCACTTGAGATGCAAAGAAGAATAAATCAGACTTGGTTCCTCTCATCTGGGCACTTAGTTTCTAGTATTTGTTGAATGAATAAATTAGAAGCCACCTGTTATGGTTTAGATCTGGATTGTCCCCAAGAAAACTCATGTGTCAGGCAATGCAGCAATGTTCACAGGTGAAAAGATTTGGATCATGAAGTCTCTGACCTCATCAGTGGATTGATCCATGTGATAAATTAGTAGTTTGAAAGGATTTAGTGGAGAGTGGTGAAAATAATAGGCAGATGGGGCATGGCTGAAGGAAGTAGGTCACTGGGAACATAGCTTTGGGGACTATATCTGTCCCTGGCCCCTTTTGACTCTGCTTCCTGGCTGCGATGAACTGAGAAGCTTTCCTCCACCAGGCCCTTTGGCAATGGAATCACCATGTACTGGGACCTCTGAAACCATGAGCCAAAATAAACCTTTCCTCTTCTAAGTTGTTCTTGTCAGGTATTTGGGTCACAGCAATGAGAAGCTGACTGACACACCACCTATTTTTATGACTTCTACATCCTTATAAGTTGATATTTGCTCCATATAGTAATTTTGATTTCATATCTAGTAGGAGATAATTAACATTATTTTTATTTATAGCCATTATAATTTAATCCTCCTCCCCTTTCTTTCAATGCAAAGGTAAAATGTGTTACATGCAGCAATTTAATAAATACTTGTTGTTTAAGAATGAAGTAGGTGATGTTTCATGTGTATTTGTTTTCCCTAGTCCTCTACTAGGTAGAGTGGCCATTTTGTTTCCAAAAAAGATTACTAAAATATAGTCTGCCCTCCATACCAGCAAAGTCAACCAACTGTGAATCATAAGTATTCAGGAAAAAAGATAACATCTGTACTGAGCATGTCCAGACATTTTTCTTGTCATTATTTTCTAAATAACATGGTAGAACATTCCCTTACATAGCATTCACCTTGTATTAGGTATTATAAGTAATCTAGAGATTATTTAAAGTAAGCAGATAGTTATATACAGGTTATATGGTAATGCTACACCTTTTTCTTTTTTTAGTACTGTGTATTGAACCCTGGGGCCTTGCATTCTACCACTGAGCTACATCCCCAGCCCTTTTCATTTTATTTTGAGATAGGGTTTTACTAAGTTGCACCTACTGGCCTTGAACTTGCAATCTTCCTGCCTCAGCCTCCTGAGTACTTGGGATTACAGGAGTGTGCCACCATGCCAGGCATATACCATTTTATTTAAGGGACTTGATTACCCTTTTGGCATGGGGGGATGGGGTGCTAGAATGAATTCCCCCATGGACACCAAGGGCTGACTAAATAATAGGGTCTCCAAGCATTATTATTGCATCTTTCCCACTCAATGACTAATTACTACCTCTGTGTACCTCTGAGCACTTGT